TGTTACATGGTGGAAAGAATCCAACCCAGAGGGAAGCTAAAACAAGCTAACAAAACACATATCTTCCCCTTACATCAGCCTCAGGGAAGGAGCAGTGTGAACAGAAGTTCATAAGGTCCTTACCTCAGAGCCCTGGTTCAGGGTTCCCAAAGTGAATCAGCAAAACAAAGGTCTGTGGCCTTGGCCAGGCTAGTCTGAGAGAGACCACAGCCCATAACAGCCTGCACAGCTTCTAGTCCAACCCAGCTTCCCTTTTCTTTTTAAGTAGCCCAGCCACAGGGGATCCTGGATTGCTCGCAGGCTTGCTTCGGCTGTAAGTGCCAGACTGGTCCTTAAAGGGGTAGTCCCCTGTGCCCTACCCAGCAAGAGATACTAAGATTTCAAAACTACTTCTTTCAAAGAAGTGATCAAGCAAAACGTCAAGAGCCACAGGTTACCCCTTGAGCTTTAGCAGAGCTCTCCTGGTAGTCAATGAGAACTGCCTGAAATTATTTTGGGAAGTATCTGACCATTAGGGTATTTTTTAGAGAGGAATGGAAACACCAAAGGAAAGGCCATAGCTAAATAGACTTTCATTATATATAATTTACACAGTTGGAATGCAAAATTAATTTTTTTTAAATTGTACCGACTTCGGGCCAGATTTTCAAAGTCAGGCGTGCACCAATATTGGCACCATACGTTAGCACATAAGGAACATCCATTCCTGTGAGGGGCTTTTTTATATATTAAAGTATAAGGGCCTCCTTGTGCTCTCACTTACCCCAGTGTAAAGCAAGACTAACAGCACTAAAGTCGATGGAGTTACACTGGGGACTAATCAGAGCCAATGAGATCAGAATCAGTCTCTACGTGTCAGTAAGTCTAAGTTTCACATGACCAAAGTGTGCGTTTTCAAAGGGAGCGTATTGACAATTAACTACCAGGGCCAAATCTGGCACTCAGCTCCGGCTTTGCAGCTCCGGTAACATCACTGGCAGGTGGAAGAGTACGAGTGAGAGCAGGAGTTAGCCTAGGGGCCGCTGTTTTTTCTAGACGCTCTCAAAGCGTTAAGATTATTTTAAACAAATTGTTCAATCCCTTCCAGTGCGACACTGAAGACGAGCCAGCAAATCTGTTTGGATCCCGAGGCCAAATGGGTGAAGATGATCATTAACAGGATTTTACGCAGGTAGCTGTCGAAATGATCTTGTTACTGGAACTATTCTGCCAAAGGGCGGGTTGCCACAGATCTTCTGAAGAGAAATAATCCCTAGATTCCTTTCAGTGTAAACGCTTCTGTGATCTTCAGGGCTCATTATCTGAAGGCCCATTTGAGCAATACAATGCCAGGAATCTAGAAAGCCGGGGATTAGCAGAAGTCTTTGAATTCAGCAGAAACAGGGCACATCCATCAATCTTAAAAATATTCCAGTGATATGCAGCATGTTACCAATGTACATGAGTAAGCCAGTGTTCTTCTGGTTAGTGTTCTGCTCTGCCATGTGAGAGACCCAGGCTAAAGGTTTGGTCTCTGGTCTCTCCTAAATTAACAGGAGCTGACGCACCGCAAAGGGAGAGCCTCGCATTCCTCTGTTGTATATTGTCTGGCCTGCCGCAGAGACTTGGCCAAAGAAGGGTCACTAGGACAAGGCTTCACTTGCGTGTGGGTGTGAATAACAGGCATGAGAGCTAATTAATGTATCTGGTTGTGCAAACTGTATTTAGAATTGTTTCTGATAACTTCTCATTTGCACAAACAAAAATGCACTTAAGTTCTGCCAAGCAGTCAATAGGAACCGGAAGACAATATTTCCTCTACGTACCAAAATCTGTTTGCTAGACATGGCATTTTGGCAGTATTGAAGTACTGCGGAAAGGGATCTGGGGGTCATATTGAACCCCAAGCTAAATATGAGTCAGCAGTTTAACACTGTTGCAAAAAAAAAGAACAGGAGTACTTGTGGCACCTTAGACTAACAAATTTATTAGCGCATAAGCTTTCGTGGGCTACAGCCCACTTCTTCGGCTGTAGCCCACGAAAGCTTATGCTCTAATAAATTTGTTAGTCTCTAAGGTGCCACAAGTACTCCTGTTCTTTTTGCGGATACAGACTAACACGGCTGCTACTCTGAAACTTGCAAAAAAAAAAGTGAACATCATTCTGGGATGTATTAACAGGAGTGTTGTAAGCAAGACAAAAGAAGTAATTCTTCCGCTCTACTCTGTGCTGATTAGGCCTCAACTGGAGTATTGTGTCCAGTTCTGGGCGCCGCATTTCAGGAAGAATGTGGACAAATTGGAGAAAGTCCAGAGAAGAGCAACAAAAATGATTAAAGGTCTAGAAAACATGGCCTATGAGGGAAGATTGAAAAAATTGGGGTTGTTTAGTCTGGAGAAGAGAAGCCTGAGAAGGGACATAAAAGGTTGTTACAAGGAGGAGGGAGAAAAATTGTTCTTCTTAACCTCTGAGGATAGGACAAGGGCTTAAACTGTAGCAAGGGCGGTTTAGGTTGGACTTTCGGAAAAACTTCCTAACTGTCAGGGTGGTTAAGCACTGGAGTAAATTGCATAGAGAGGTTGTGGAATCTCCATCATTGGAGATTTTTAAGAGCTGGTTGGACAAACACCTCTCAGGGATGGTCTAGATAATACTTAGTCCGAGTGCAGGGGACTGGACTAGATGACCTCTTGAGGTCCCTTCCAGTCCTATGATTCTATGATCTCTCTGTATTGTATATGTTGTGATTTGTTGCAATGTTTGCATTACAGCTCATCCGGCAGACTGCGCAAATAGGAAAAGCAGAGATAATGCATCTAACCCCATGCAGAATTCTCAGCCATGATGTATCTCCAAGGGCCAGGCTGTTCATAGTTTGTTTTACTCTTTCATTCTCTGTCCACACTGACTCATCCCATATACAGACTGCTAGTTTGAGAAAGGAAGCTGCTGGAGTAAATATACCTTCACACTACCAGGAGACTTGTGAGTTTTATGGCATGATCATGCTGCGTGCTTTTCTGTGGAGGCACTTGGAGCTGAATCCTGGGCTCAGTACAGTCAACAGGAACACTCTCATTGATTTCGAAGGGTCAAGGATTTGGCTGTTATTGAATTGGCCTTTAAAGCAATGCCATCTGTGAATTTCACGTTGAAAAGCTGTGCAGTGTCACATTTATTCGTGCAAGAGGGCTTTCATAATCACAGAAAAAAGAATGAAGCAAAAGTACACCTTGGAGTGTCCCAGAATGCAAAAAAGAGTTTGTGTTTATTAATACAATACGGTTAATAGCAAGAAGCCATGTCACTGACTGTGAAACAATTGCACTATTTAGAATGTCTTCAGTATTTTAAATGCTGAACTCTTGATTTTATACGCATTATCTTTATCACTAGCCATAAAACTGCACACCAATAAAACCAGTAATTCTATTTTTATCATGACACGTCTCTGTCATTTTCATGTAGTGCGCTGTCACACTTTAAGATGTCAGCCAGGGTGAAGATGGTTTTTATACTCCCCCCGCTCTTTTACTTCTGAAAGTTTGTATTAGTGGTTGTTATAATATTTTTATAGAATGATTATATCTTTGTTAAAATGATAAAACATGCTCATAATTTGGCAGGTTGCATCCATGGCGTTCTGGGCACCTATTCATGGGCTACCTGGAGTTGAAAACTGAAGATGAGTGGCTGATAGATGCAGTTCTCGGTGACTTTGTATATAATACTCAGAATTGCTGTGCCTGTTTTTCAAGGGAAGTAAACTTGGCCACAATTTTTTTAGCAATAAAAAATATTTTGCTAAAATCCATTTCATTTGCATCTGGAATCAATAGAGATATGGGATGATTCCCTTCTTTTTCAAAAGGGCATCAAAGCCACCAAACTCCTTTTCTGACGCTACCCACATTGCTGGTTTGAATTCAGTCCAATCCTCGGCTATCTCAGCCAAAGACAACCACAACATCGTGAGTATTATGGATAGAAAACCAACATCACATGCATACAAACAAGATAAACGAGAGACTATTTCACGGCGGCTGGAATAAGATATATATCCATTTTGAATGTGCCACAGGTGTCATTACCTGGGTTCTTATGTAGCATATAGGGAAATGTAAAGCCTGCTACATGATTACCTGACAAATTTAAAAAAGAAGTGAACGTTCTATAAAATCTTTGTCAGATAATCATGCGGTGATGGACTTTATTTTGGGATTGCTTGAGGTGTTTTTCTTATTAAACCAGGCCCAGGCAGCCACGAGAAAGACTGCGTGAAGTTCTTAAGGGGCCCTGAAGAGGGGAAAGAGAGACAGGGAGCTGCAGAGCCACTCCTGGCCACAAGGGGCACTCAGGAGGCAGCTGCCCTGTTACACCCTTTGACAATGCACAGGTTCATTAACAGGTTGTTCTTAAAACTCCCCATCAGGAAACAGCTTTCTGTGATCTGCTCTAAGTTTAAAAATCCAAATGTAATTGAGAACATATATGGAAAAAATCATGTAGCATAACCAAAGTCACATCATCTCATCCCTTTCCCAGGAAGGTGAGAACTTTCTCTGATATTTGCTTAATATACTCTAGGATTGATTTATTTTGAAGTGAATAGCTTTAAACTAAGGGCTTGATTTGCCCTCTGGTAGGCAAATGGATATCACCATAGCTTAGATTAGAGATTATTCTGGGTTTGAAAAGCAAGCCGTAACTTCCATCCCAAATTGTTGCTTTGCCAGAATACTGCCATCCTCCAAAAGTGGTGCAGTAGATAAAATACAGGATAAAACACCTGTGCTCAAACATAACTAATATGAGTCAGGGCTTTTAGCAAAAGGGGAAGGTTTTAGTCCACTGATTATTTGCATAAACCTGCTTAAAATTACTTCAACAAATCTGTAGTCACCTAGGAACTTTGTCGCTATGCAGCCACTCTGGTCACTCAGAACTTCTTGGGAAGAGACAGAGAATCCAGGTCTTTTTGCTCTAAAAGTCCAGATTTCTATCAGTGTAGAGAAAGGACAGCAACTGTTAGCAGTATAGGATCTATGAGACACAGATCAAAAACCCCATATCCTAAGCAGCACATTAGACTTAAATTGTGCCAGAAGGACCTGATCCATGCAGCACTGTTATTCTAAACCTTCCCCTTCTCACTGCATGCCCAGTCCAAACCATGATGCTCTGTGTCCTTTATCTTCATATAAAATTCAATTCTTTTTATATTGTCCCCAAATGTTGAATGTACTTCATAGTTTGGCATTGAAAGTGCATTAACCACGTCATAGACGTTGCTGGGAGAAAGCTGGAGGTTTTGACAACTGGAGCTTTTGGGACCCAGGAAGGTGGAGGTTGCAGCTTTGATTATTGGTATCCAGGTGGCAGCGTAGGCTTTTGGAATTGGGAGCAGAAGAATTGGAATTGGGGCAGAGGAAGTGAGAATTTCACATTTATGGGCAGGAGGGT